GTACTTTTAATTTCTCCATTGTAATGCTGCCTAGGGGCCGCGTCTTGGCAAAAGTAGCCATAGAACACAGTGTTTTTCACATGACTTTAAACCGCTGCCGCGGGAAAAGTAATGATCGCATACAAGCCAAATTTGGATATATGATAGATATAATGTTTCTGAAGAATATTAAATTTTTTAATGAAAATTAATCTCCTTAAGGTTCCGGGTCGGAGTTTAATTCTGACCAGAGTCTAAGTAAGTGCGCAGTAAATCGCCGGAAACGTGACTTTGTATGGTATGTTTTGGCCGCGATATCCCTGAAATCGTAATATCTGTGTACATATCTTTGTATTTTCTGAAAAGCCTGTTAGTTGTAGCCTTTATAGGTGGCGTAATGTTGGTGGTCCAGCTAAGACTTCCTGGTATTCGTCCGCGCGGATGGTTATGTGGCCTTTTCGCCTGACCGCCGGGATGGTACGTTCTATATGCGTTCTGGGTGTGTTCGGGCCATCGAAGATAGCGATAAACTTATCGCATCGATTTTAATTAAATTCAAATTTTGGAAACATTAGGTTCTGAGCTTCTTCGAGTACTAAGCCGTTACCCTGGGAAAATTCGTTTTTTCCATGCAGCCATGGTTAAAAATGACGAAAAAAATGACCCCTTTTTTCAAAATGTACTTTGATGTGCCTCATTTACCCCTAAATAAATTGGGCGCAGAAAATATCAATCAAGTGTATTGATACGCGGCACGGCACCCCTTTCCACCAAAAGAGTGAAAAATTCCGACCCGCGTTTAGTACAGAAATGACAGCCCGTCGGGCTGAGGGTGTCAAATTGCTCGAAATACGGAGGGAAACTCCGGTCCGAGACCATATGTTATTAAGAATGAGAGAAACACAGGCAGATATCGATTATGCAAATGAAGACTTAATTTGCATAATTAATGAGAAAATATTATAATTGCATAGTGGTAACTGCCTGGAATTTTATACTTGGGGTGTTTGAAAGTTAAGTTAAGGTGAACATAATTAAACATAACTTATTCAAATAAGGACCTCATTTGCATAATTTATGAGAAAATGTCATCATGGCATTCTTTGTTAAGATAAGACTGTCTTTTGGTGGAGAATATGATCAACAGATATAATTCATGCAATTGAGGATCCTATTTGCATAATTAGTGAGATTAATATATAATTTCTTAATGATAAAAGCTAACATCATTTGGCGAAGGTATGAGATCGTGGAACTCTAGTTTGAATTTCAAACCAGCCTGGTGTGTTGACTTTATGGCTCCTATCGTACCATTTTGGGCCATAATAGGATGCCTTGAGGCCTGTTTTTATTTTTATTTTTTTCACCCGCCTGCTCCATTATTTTTCTAGAAAAATCCATTAACCAACAAATTAAATTGGTGTGGCCTTAGTTGGTGAAGACACCACAAACCGAGTGCGCCTCGTGTGAGCAGTTTTAGCGCGCAATATCATAAATGTGCTAGATAATTGCCAAATATGTTAACAAGTGGAAGTGACGCACAATCACAGGGATATATTTTTCCAATAAAGTATTTAAGGTTTTGGTTCCAAAATGTTACAACATGCCCCTCTAAAACCCGAACACATGGTTGTCAATAATGATTCCCAGTCGGATCGCGTACTTTTGTAGTATGGCGTAAATCAAAAGAGAAAACGTAGACCAAAAATATCTCTGGTGCTCATGAATAAGTCATATCCAATTAGCTGCTAGTTCCTACAAACTGAGACATTAGAGCCTTGAAACACCGCCTCTAACACATAGCATGCCCTTAATTGACAAGGTAGCGATCTAATTTCTAGCGACATGTCCGGTTTTTTTTTTTTAAATTAAGAACATGTATTCTTCTACATCGTACTGGAAGACTTACTGGGATCGAGTTTGTTATGTAGGTTTCAATTTTTCATTTTTAAGTCCAGAAGCAAAATAAATACACCATCTGGTGCCCTGTTTTGTGGTTAGGCGATTTCTTTTTATTAAATGGATGACTGAATCCTCTGGGAACCCCAAACTGATGCGAGCGTGCGAATAAAAAAGTTTGGAAAATTATGGTGATTCATTATAAAATTTGCGTGGTCATGAAGGTTGAACAAAAAGTGGTCATGAAGGTTGAAAAAAACAAAGGTCATGAAGGTTGAAAAAAGCACAAGGAGTATGCTACGACGAATTATAGACTCTATATTTTTATTTCTTTACATTTCTTCGCTTCCTTTGTAGTTGAATTTGGCACTCTATGGCATAACTATCGTTTTTCATTACATTTTTTAATGTGAGTTACTGCATATATTTGTTCATTTTGCAGCTGCTTTGCACGATTTAAAGCTTCAATTTTTTTTTGGAAACGGACGAAAATTCATGTGCGCGCGTATGCCATCCATACATTTACATCAACATGGCCTTATGTCGAATTTAAGTTTTTCCTACATGGTTGTTCACAGAGTTTGAAACAAATCGAGAAAGATTTTGAGATGGTTTCAGAGGAAAGCTCTTCTGGTCAGAGCTGCATGACTGCTGCGTTTTCCCTAACAAGATCCTTAGGGGACCATGTCAACAGATGTTCTCCACGATAGCAGCGCCCAAATCTATCATAATACCACACTGCCGTCAAGCCGTCCTGATTACTAGTTTAACAGAAACAACCTATATCCTTGGGGAAGACTGTAGATCGATATAACACCATGTCCTGTTGTACAGATACGGTGGTTGTCAAATAGATGCCATCCTGATATCTTGGCGGTACGTAGATTGCAGGCATGTTGTTGAAGAGATAGTGTTCTTTCAATTCTGATTACTAGTTTAACAGAAACAACCTATATCCTTGGGGAAGGCTGTAGATCGATATAACACCATGTCCTGCTGTACAGATACGGTGGTTGTCAAATAGATGCCATCCTGATATCTTGGCGGTACGTAGATTGCAGGCATGTTGTTGAAGAGATAGTGTTCTTTCAATTCTGATCAAGAGATAAAGACCTCTTACAGTATGCTAGTACTAGTACTACTACTTCTTACGACGATCAATATACATGTAGCTGTCAAATTGACAGTTCCTAGTTAGAGGCATTGAAAGAGGCTCCACTGGATCGTATTTGCAGATGGTCATTCATGAAGGAAACTTCTAAAAAGCTTTCTTCGCAAACCTTGTAGTCGAAGTCTGCAATTATTCTATTACACCACGGACAGGTACACGTGACGTGGTTACAAAACGACAGATGAACATAAAAAAACATTATGTACGCTGTATGGTGTCGTTTATGCATGTATGTGTATGGCCACAGCAAGTAATTTTTATGGATGGCATCACCGCGCGCATTAATTTTGCCTGATTTTGAAAAAAAAAATTCTGTTTTCCTCTGACAGTGGTCAACATGCCAAATATGGGCAAAGATGTCTGTTGCCATGCCGGGACGTGGATGGCAGATTAATATGAAGAAACTTAAGGAAACAAGAAAAGGCTCTGATTTAATGTTTTTTTTTTTTACTTTGATGATGTGATATGTGATGGTAGCTGTATACGTGATGTTCCCACTGAATCAAAACCATTTGAACAATGATTGAGTCAAAAAAAAAGGAACCTTTTATTTCTGTCTGCCTTGTTTTTATTTCGCCCGCTAGCATTATATTTGGAGTCTGCGTAGGATGTCATCCATCATGTAACATTGCTTATCATTTTCTACAAGGTTGTTTGCCGTTTTTAAAATGAAATTTGAAATATGATAATATTTCCCCCAAAGCAGACCCCATAGGCACACGTCCTTTGAGATTTTGGCAGATGCAGCTTCTATTTCGAAATAAGTTATTTTTTTATTAGCCTCTCGCATGGCCTGGTTTGGTTTTCTACACTAATTAGATGGGAACTATCTGTCGAATTGGATTATCTTCTTGTATGTCGGAAGAAAACAAACCGAAGTGGCTATTCAGGCCTGTCATTATAGTCACCATTATGCCACAGCAAGTAGATTTTATGGATGACATCCTCCGCAGACTCCAAATCTAATGCGAGAGGGCGAAAAAAACAAGGCGGGTCGAAAGAAACAAGGTTCGTAAATTTTTATATTTTGACTCAATCATTGTACAAATGGTTTTGATTCAGTGGGAACGTCACATATACACAGCCAACATCACATATCACAAGTAAGAAACAAACATTAAATCAAAGCCTTTTCTGGTCTCCTCTCTTTATCGTTATCTGCCATCCACCTTCCGGCATGGCAACAGACATCTTGGCCCATTTTCGGCATGGTGACCACTGTCAGAAGGCAACAAAATTTCTTGTCTTTTTTCCAAAATAAGGCGAAAATTAATGCGCGTGCTGATGTCATCCATACTAGTTACTTGCTGTGGCCTTACTGTAATATTTACGGAGACGGCACAGGTATTTTCACAAGGAAATTGTTACTTAAGCAACTGGATAGGTTTTGAAAACTGTTAGACGTTTCAAGTAGCATCCTCTACTTTCCGTCAGTGACTGAAAACATCTGACAGTTTTCAAAATCTATTCAGTTGCATGAGCAACAATTTACTTGGGTACATCATTACCTGGATATCGAAATTTCATCGTCGACGCCGAAATTTGGATGTATGCCATTTTCAAAAGCCGCTATTTTCATCAAAAAGTCTATTTTAACGGTGTTTCTCAATGCAAAGCAAAGCGACCACTTCTAGGCATTGCGCTGGGTGATTCGACAGACGTATGACTATGCCAAAAGGTGGTGTTGAATGTTTTTTTTCTAAAGCTTGAGGATTGTATTCGGAAGGAAAGTACCATGTTTCGATAGGGCTCCAAGCAGTCCGGGGATAGAAATTCTTGCTGCAGAAGAAATTCGAAACTGGAATCTAAACTGCATGACGATGTGAACTAGAGAAGCTAATTGTACGCTGAAAATATCTGATTGATTTTTGATTCTACTTTTATCTATTCGCACATTAACAACAACAATAAAAGCAAAATTTACAAAACATTAACAACTGAAAAAAAACGTGCAGGGTAAGGGACAAAGCCATGATGGCTTGTTTGATTCCCCCCTTCAACATTACATTTATCAAATCATCCATAAATAATAATAAAGTAATAGCAAAAGTAATAGCAAAACGCTGAATTGATAAATCAAAGAGACAAAATAACACAAATTGTTAATAAATAGGTGACACAATACAGTAAATCAATAAAATGACCAAACAAAAGAAATAATTTTGCAAACTCTGGTGGGGTGTATGGGGTGTCAGGGAGGGTCAGTACCTCTGCAATTTTGCAAACAAGTAAACGAAAATATACTGAATCAATAAATATGTTAAATAAAGGAATAAGGTTGGAAGTAAGTACTGAGGCAATATAATGAAAATTAAATGGGAACACAGTATGCAACATTATATATCACAATATATTTGGTTATTTTTTAATATTCCAACATGTAGTCACAAGACGTGGTGACGGCACACTCAATTTTTTCCAACTTATATTAATGCCGCCACCAACACAGGGGACAATAATACTTATTTTCAGCTGAGCGAAGTGAGGAAAGTCGTGTAAAGTGCCTTTCCCAAGGGCAAAACATCGGTGGCATGTCAGGACTCGAACCCGGGACCTCTTGGTTCTCAGTCGAACACTCTGCCCGCTACGCCACACGACACCACATATGGTTATATTTGCTGTTTTGAGACAATCCCTGCAGAAGCGAGACTTCAAAGCCCTTATCTTAAACCTGCCACGGCCGGTCCTGGAGGTTAGGATTACAGAGAGGATAGAAATTTTTCTGACGTCAGCCAGAAGTGATCCCTTAGATTTGCAGATTCATGTATGCACAGCATGCTCCACAAGCAATTATTGGTATAGGTTTTTTTTAAATATATTTTTTGGTTGAACATTAACAAAGTCAATGGAATGCGGCATTTGAGGGCTGAATGTATCTAGCACAATGAATGTGAATGAATGAATGAAGGGTTTATTTGATCAACATAGTCCTTAAGTTAAAAGTACATCGCAGCCAGGCAAAGTGGCTGAATTGCATACTTTTCACATCAATAGATAAGGCTATTTACAAATTGACATTTGGTACAAACATTAATATTCCCTAATAATGTTCTAAATGCGGAGAAGTTACGGTTTGTTTTAGTAGTTTTATCATGTACAGAACAGGACTGTTTTTGTATCTGTTTGTTCGTGCTATGAATGTGGACAGAAGGTGTTTATTTCTAGTGTCTCTTGAGCTGAAATCGCCGCGGGAAGGAGGAATGTGTTGAAGAGAAATCAGAAAAAAGGGTGGTAAAATCAATGTAGAGACTTGGTAATGGAGTGGGGCCAAAGTAGAACAAATGGCTTCGAAAGGAAGCCATACCACCGTTGATAGATTGTAAACTGTTCAAGCCTTAAGCGCGGATTAATTTTCGCTTGGTTTCGAAAGAAAGAAATGTTGGTACCCTCTGAGGCTCTGCCGGTGGCCAACATGCCAAATGTACACTGAAGAACGTATTGACATGTTATCATATGCATATTTAACTAACATCCTGCCATTTGACATAAACAACGCCACCTATAACACCTTATGTTCAACCATTCTCAGGGGTAACCCCTCATTGTCGTTTGTCAACAACTGTAAAATATTTCATGGGGTTTTCAACTTTATTTTGCAGACAGGACGTTTTGTTTGATTGATTTTGATTTGTACACCAGCTCATTATGTACCTTTGTCCTTTCTTCTTCTTATCATTATTACTTTCTTTTATTGTTTCCTTTTATGTGTGAGGAGAGGGCTGACATACGTTTCATAACTTTTGCCCAATCCTCGAAAAATAAATGTGAATAAAAAAATGTGAGTCCAGAGAGCATCAGCGATCCAGCAAACTTAAGGCACAATTGCTCGCGCTTGACGCCAAGTGTTGACGGTCTAAGGTGTTCCATCGCACATGAATACCCAGTGTAGTAGCTGTGTACCCATGATGGTACCACAAGCTATTATCTACAAACGTTGTTCCAGTTAATCAAGATAATAGTGTTGAATACAGGAATAAAAGACCTGTTGGTTGTGATATAATGTTTTGTGAGCCCAATTTCTGTTCAACAAGATTTATGATTAAAACATTTAAAAATGTAGAAATTTGCCTGCTTTTTTCATTAATTTGTTTCTAGTCCATCCAGTGCTGTTAGAAAAATGCTAGCATAATTGTTCCATGTCCATTATTCCAAGCCATTTCTGTAGTGTTTTAACATGTGAATCCCACCAGTCTTTGGAAATATTTGGTAACTTGTTCATCACTATGTAAATTCTTATGTTTTGATGGCGGCATGAATATAAGTCTAAGTTTGATTGTACCATGTTTTGTCAATAAATGTTTAATAAATAAAAGAATGCTAGCAATACCAACTATATATATATATATATATATATATATATAACTATATATATATATATATATATATATAGTTGTGAATGTGTGTGTGTATGCTGCCATACTTTGTACCCGCTACAATTGTTGCAATTGTTCAATGAAGTTCTTCTTCTCCATAAAATGTACTCTTTGTGGCTTTAGTTACAAAACAATGGGAAAATCTTGAACGTAAAGGTTGAGCTGTGATGTTTTATCACAGGTGTCTGCATTGCGGCGTCAGAGAAGATCGACCGCCACGCTTCAGATGAGACCTTTGAAGATATCATAGAGTATCTTGGAAAGACGCCCAAAGCCAGAGCTGTTATCGTCTTTGCTGATGAAGACGATCTGAAGAAGCTTATTGCTGCAGCCAAGAGGTAAAGATATTGACTTACTATCTATAAAAGCAGATACTGTGATGACTATAATGATACAGTGAACTCCAACCGAAGTTCACAAGATAAGCGCATTTCTGGCGACAGTATAGGCATATAAAGAAGCATTTCAGGCACAAGTTTCTTATACAGGCTCTGCTTGATAACACTAATGCACTCTGAGGGAATTTACTGATGCGCGTAAAGGGACAAATTCACTCAGCGTTTACAGCCTAGGTAACTGCAAACTGTTTTATATGTATATATGTCAGGAATTCGACGCCCTAACTTAAAGGCTTTTTGTTATTTTTCCCAGCTGGTACCTATGTTGAGAAACAATCTCCTTTAACCCTTCAAAACAATTACCTTCAACTATAAAAAAACGATTTTCTGAAAAAGATTTACACAAGAATTTTTCATTGACAACTTGCCTTGCCTCCGAAGGTTTTGTACAGCTCCAACAGAAAGAAATAATTACCTTCAACTATTCAAAACCTTCAACCAATTGACATTAAAGACTTCTTTTTAATTAAAGATTTTACGATATTCTGTCAATGGCAATTGTGTGACCTTCAAAGGTTTACTAACAAACACACACACACGCACACACACACACACACACGTACACACACACACACACACACACACACACACACACACACACACACACACACACACGTACACACACACACACACACACACACACACACGTGCCTTTATGTATATAAAGGCACATGCTCAGCGTATATGATTAGCCCTACCTGATTGTATACAGCAGTATCTCTATATGTTTAGTAATTTGGGTGTTAATTTTCATTCTATACTATTTTATTTTTGTACTTTCAAGTAGCCGTTGCCATACGTTGTACAATCGTCTTGCAATAAAGCTCTTCTATGTATTACACGTATACGTCGATGAAGGTTAGACATCCAGGTAATAAGATACGCCAAAAAGCAGTTACTCAAGCAACTGGATATGATTTTGGAAACTGTCAGACGTTTCAGGTAGCATCCACTACCTTTAGTCAGTGATACTAAGAGACCAGAGGATAAATGCAGGTTTATAAGCACTTAAAATCAACTCAGTTCATTGATATGCCAAAAAAGTGAAAATTTTTGGGAAATCCAAAATGAAATAAAAATTACAAAAGTCAAGACAAGATTATGCAAATTAGTCAGAAAGCTCCTGTTGTAGAACAGAAACGTCTGACCGTTTCCAAAATCATACCCAGTCGCTTGAGTAATTGTTTTTTTTTGGCATAAGATGACTTATACCAGATTTTTTTGAGGATTTATCTAGTATTTTATCCTCTCAGACTTGGCGTCGACAGACATCTCCTGTGGGTGGGCAGTGACAGCTGGGGCACAAAGGTCACGCCGGTGGAGGGCCAAGAAGAGACCGCCGAGGGGGCCATCACAATTCTCTTCAAGAGCAAAACGATCTCAGGTACGTCCACCCACGTCCCTGTAACGTTTTTTTCATTTATTTTTATTTTATTCACATGGATTTTTGAGCATTAGATAGGAAGCACTTGTTGTGCTTATGTGAATCCGCTGCTCCTAAAACATAATGCAAATGTAAACATAAAGATGACATAAAATATAACAAACATAAAATGAAAGTGGCTGGCGCACCAATACCTATAACATAGCATTAATGAGATTGGTAAATCTTCCAGAATGATGAATATAGTTGAACACAATATCAAAGATACGGCAGTTAGTAGGATATGGGAGGGAGGGGCTACCTGTAAGAAGTAAAGTGCATAATGTGGCGTCATTTGTATTGGGTTGGTCGGAAAGGAGTATCTTTTCAAGATGAAGGCAAGATATGGATAACAACATTTTGGTCCTTTCAGTATTATGAAATTTGCAGTGCAATAAATAGTGATCTGGTGTCTCATTTGGATGCCCACATTTGCACTCAGGACTATAACGTTCTATCAAAATCTGGTATAGCCATGCTGATTTGATTATATATGGATGGCATCCAAACGTGCATAAATTTTCGTCTGTTTCAAAAAGGTTTTCGACAATACTGTAAATTGTATACAAAGCAGCTGCAAAATGAGCAAATATATGCCGTAAATTGCAAAACAAAATGTTGGAAAACGATACCATAGCTATTGCCAGAGAATGCCAAAATCAATCCCAAACTTGCTAGTGCTAGTTACGGCTCTTTGGCTTGTTCAGCTGCTTCATTCTGTCCTTGTGGGTTTCGCCACCTAAAGAAGGAATCAGGAGGCCAGGGCAGCATTGGGTATAGCCACTCCCCATCTGTGCTCTTGACCCAGAGCCATTAGGATGCCCTCTCTGTCTCATCTGTAGCTCTCTTTGTTACTTCTCTCCTTCTGCTGCCCTTCACTCCTACCAATCCTAGCATACCCCACGAAAAGAAGAAAGTGTGAGGAAATGAAAATGAAGAGTCTATTATTCGTCATACCATACTCTGTGTGTTTAGTCATTTGTCCAACCTTTATGACCGTGTAGATTTCAGAATTACGGCAACTTTTTTTTGCCCAACTTTTTTATTCGCACGCTCGCATCCATTTCGGGGGTTTTTAGAGGATGTCATCCATATAGTCAAATCAACATGGCCTAACAACCACTAGCACTTCAGCTACACGGAAGCGATTAAATGTCACTCAAAGTCTCCTATACGGTACAAGGTCTGATTAATACTTCTCACAGAGGTCACACACATGTAGCCCTGGAACAATGATTGTGCACCAGCTCCTTTGATTATAAGATGGCCACGGTGTAAGAAAAAAAAAAGATACTGGTCCAACTGCACAGAATAAAGGGTTCCTTCTTGCTTTTCTTACTTGGCGTATAAAAAAGGAGCGTTAGGCCACACCAATTTAATTTGTTGGTTCTCGGATTCGCCTCTTCATTTTTTCCTGATTTGCAAAAAAAAAATAAATTCAGAATCAACTGCAAAATGCTCATATTTTGCCCTGAACAGTTGAAAACAGTCCTTTTCTTCCTAGTCGTTACAGTTATTCCATCTCTCAATGCAGTGGTATCATTAGAAGTTCAAAATTCATTTTTTAAATTTTGAACCAGCCTTTTTTGTTGACTTCATACCTCCTATCGTAGCATTTTGGGCTATAATAGGATGCCTAGATCTGTTTTTATTTTTTTTTTCGCCCTGTCGCTTCATATTTTTCCTGAAAAAATCCGAGAACCAACNTTAAGTATTGGTTAAGCATGTTTGAGAAACACGTGTTTCCTAGTGGATGTCGTAGGCGGCTGAAATTTTCAGGACATACAGAACCCATCAGGTACTTCAAAGAATAACATGAAAAGGGACAGATTATCACAAAGAAAAATTAATGCCTTTCAAAAATTGTATCTGTCCATTACCAGCTATGTGCAGAACCTCATTCATGTTAGCCAAGCCTTGCGAAGAAATTTTTGTTTGTCGCAATTCCAAAGAAACCCCTAACACGACTAGACAGAGCACAAATGTAACTGTCTTGTCGACATGTTATCAATATACTGTATGAAATTGAACCTGGACGAATTGTACCTTTCTGTCTGTAAGATTTCCTTTTTATAGTATATTATATATAGTATATAGTATATTTCATTATAGTATCACCTGCTCTGGAGATGATTACTGCATTAGTATAGCTTCTATCTGATGTCCATGTTATTGCCTGACGTTTGATATACTTATGTATGGGTGTAGATGAATCACCGACTGGTAATTAAGGGGACTTTCTTCTCTAGAAAGATGCGAAGAATGAAAATATAGCAAAAGGATTGTGAGGAGACCTTATTTACTTTACTCATGTAACTGATTCATGTAAACGATACAAAAACAACGTGTTTAGAGTTAAAACTTTATAGATCCAACACAAAAAAGTCCTCTCACCTAGAGCTTTCGACCAGTCACTCTGGTCTTCCTCAGTAGACTAACCCAGTGAGGCTTGTTCTTTGAAGTGTGACATCAACTCTTGGTCAAAGGTATCTGATAGACGATGTCGGCCCCCGTCGCGGTTCAGTGAAGGGTGATGGGCCCTGATGTATATGGCTTCCTTCACCCCTCTCAGGAAATTGTCTTGTTCAGTGTCCAAAATCCTTAGAGTGTCAAGTGAAATAACGTGTTTGAAACGTTTTTGTTGACAATGAAACTTCTTTTCTTTTGTTGTGACAGAGTTTGACAGTTACTTCACGAAGCTGAAGCCTGAGAACAACAGACGGGACGTGTGGTTTGAGGAGTACTGGGAGAGCCACTTCCACTGCAGATTCAACATCTCCAGCGACTCAGGGACCAGCGCCGGTCTACGGAGATGTACAGGTAAAAGTTGATAATATGTCATTGTGAGAGCATGTGCCCATGTGGCAAATAGAAAGATAAATTCTGCTTACGCTACACTCATGAGGATGGCTATTATTGATCATGTTACGATGTACCTACTAGTAGTATCACGTCCTTGTCACACATTCACGACCTTCCCTACTCTCCAAGCAGAGGTTGTTGGGGAAAATTGTGACATTCTTTATCATGCGCCCGGTTTTTGTCCGCCTTCCCCAACAACTATTCAACAACCTCTGCTTGGAGAGTAGACCTTCCCCGCATTTGTTACCAGACACCAGCCGACCAGGTTCTGATCGGCTGACGTTCGGGAATACTTTGACCAGATTCAAGCCATGTCTTTACTTTTCTGTGCGGATCGAAACGAATTTGGGTTAAATTTGAGTCAAGTTTAAACACGCCGACTTACCCCCGAATGGTTGGCTGGTGTTCTGCTGACTTACACCCGAACACCAGCCATGATCGAACCTCCTTACCGACACCCGAATGTTTTAAAACATTTTGAAACTTTAGGCTGATGCAGCCAAGTAGTAGCCGAACACCAGCCGATCTAACCAACCAAATTTGCGGCGACCTACTCCTAACCTTAGTTGTGGGATTTCGGCGAGTTTTCGGGTGACCAAATTCGAGAATGTGTGACAGGGGCCTAAGATTATGTACAGGAAAAGGGATCAACTATAAAAAGACTGTGCCTAACCATAAAAACAAAATAAATGTTTTATCCACGCCATTTCCTCACCATCCTTTGAGGTTTCCGATGAAAAAGGTCCCGTTATTACATTTTTGTAACGCAATTGTTACTCAAAAGGGATGGTAGAATTATATAGCTCCAGGACAAACTCTCTTCTCACGAAGAAGGTAAAGCCATTACCTGTATCCCACAGGCGGGCATACTCCCGAATGGTTGGCTGGCGTTATGCTGACTTAGAGCCGAACACCAGCCAATCATGATCGAACCTCCTTACCGACACCCCAAAGTTTTAAAACATTTTGGAACTTCAGGCTGGTGCAGCCGAGTAGTAGCCAAATTCGCCGAACACCAGCCGATCTACCCAATCAACTTTGCGGCGACCTACCCCTTACTTGGTTGTCGGATTTCGGCAAGTGTTCGGGGGACCAAATTCGAGAATGTGTGACAGGGGCCTAAGATTATGTACAGGAAAAGGGATCAACTAGAAAAGACAGTGCCTGACCATAAAAACGAAATAAATGTTTTATCCGCGCCATTTCCTCACCATCCTTTGAGGTTTCTGATGAAAAAGGTCCCGTTATTACATTTTTGTAACGCAATTGTTACTCAAAAGGGATGGTAGAATTATACAGCTCCAGGACAAACTCTCTTCTCACGAAGAAGGTAAAGCCATTACCGCTACCCCACGGGCGTTTTCTCCCCTCTTTGTAGAAGGAAAACGATGAGAGAACTGCCGAAACAGCAATTTAGAAGTGATTTTGCAGAAGAGCCGATGATTTACTCCACCTCCACGGCGGAATTTTGTATAATCTTCTGGGGTTCTTGGCAGTTTCTATGATGGATTACCAGGCTTACTGTGCAATGAAAGAAACATTTAGTATCGGCCCCAAAATATGATTAGAGAGATTCTAGGTGATGCGTCAATATTTTATATGCTGGGGTGTTTATCCACTATTTCAACGGCTGGCAGTCTCTATTAGCACGTTGCGTGGGTTGGTTTTTCCCTTTGGACATGTGTGATATTAGCTTAATGCAGTCTGTGTGTGTGTGCCTGACAGCACGACATCTTTATTGTTTTCTGCTAAAACGTATCCGGAAATCTCAATGCAGGGAAAACACAAAATGGAAACTTCAAGGGACATTTTCAACGGTGCTACTACTGAATGCAAAGCCAAACGACCACTTTCTAGACATCGATCATAAGTTAGGTGACACGGCAGACTTATGCCTATGCAAAAGACAGCGGTGAATGTTTATCTTTACAGCTTGAGGATTGTATTCGGAAGGAAAACATGTGTTTGGGAGAGAGTTCTATAGTTTTGTAGTCTGGGGAAAGAAACTGTTGCTGTATAAGGACTTTGAAACAGGAATTTGAAGGTGTAATGATGTGAATCGGAGAAGAACCTAGTGGTACGCTGAAAACTCTGACCTAAACGGAAATAGACGAGTTTGGACAATGATTTGTGTTTGTTTGCTTGGTTTTTTTATTTATAATTTAATGTAATTATTTACCATTTATTTTAACATGTGTCTGTATATTCTTTTGACATCACAATTTACCATTTGTATTCTAAGATATGATTTATCTATGATTTTCCTACCTATGTTACCTTTACTTTGATTTATGCTATCATTTGTTATCTACTATTTGTATTATAGTGGGCTTCCATGGAAAACACATGACTGTTAGGGCCACCCACTTGTTCATAAGATGAATAACTTAAAAAGGATTAAAACCAGTTATCAGAAGTGTAATTACTCGATTCACACACTGCTCTACACAGATTGATTGATAAAGGGTCTAAGCTTCAACCTTTATCTGTGTTGGTAAAACTCATTCTATGTAGGATTAAACCATAGTCTCCAATTACAATCAATTCGTGATTCAGATTAAACAGTCCGATGGTTGTTGCAAAGTAGTAGCAAAAACATATACGTGCAAAAATTTTCCAGGTTTAGGATGAGAGAATATTTGTTTCATAAGAATGTATTTGTTTATCTACATGTCGGCTCCAGATGTCTTACTGAGGGACGACTGCGTGTGCAAGATGTCGGTAGCTTGAGGAATGAATCCCCTCTACTATATACTGTATTTGTTATCTATTTATTGAAATTGCAGCGTCACAACAGCGGGCTATCCCGGCTACAGTGCTGATTTCGGGCGCCACAATTTAACAAATAAGTAAACATACACATAGAACATAGTTATTCTTTAATACAAATTAAAGAATAAGACTTAAAATAAGGTTATTTAATGACGTTTTTTATTATTGTTATATGGCGAATGTTAGTAAGCCAACTTTTTTCAAAGTAGTTAGACATGAATGTAAAAAGTAGTTATAATGTTTTAATTTTGTATTTTACAATGTATGTAAGAGGACTCCAGGAAGAGTAGTGGCTGTATTCTCACTAATTGAAGGTTCCTTAAGTAAACAAACAAAATTTGATTGTTATCGACGACAGACTGACTGATAAACAAACAATTTGATTATTAACTATTTATTTATTTATTTATAACTATTTATTATTGTTGCAAATAGATAGTTACATTTGAGTTATTTATATTTGGTTATTATTTATATCAGTTCAAATATTTGTTTCCTGTTTTGTTACTTCAATTTTCCATTGATTGGATAAGTACATAAATTATTACTTTCATTTCAGACATATTTTATCTTTAGTATTCGACCTCTGACCCACTTTAATTTCTCTATGCTGATTTTGTTTCAAGTTTATTGTTATTTTATTTTATGTTGCTGGGCTCCAGGAAGAATAGTTTGGAATTCACCACACTAAAGGAGATAAACAACAAACAAACAATTTTCCACATACAGGAGAAGAGACGGTGTCGACTGACTCTGGGTACGTGCAGGAGGGAAAAGTGCAGTTTGTCGTCGATTCTGTGTACGCCATGGCACACGCCTTACATGACATGCGCAATGACCTTTGCCCGGGTACAACATCTGGGCTCTGTGAAGAAATGGAACACTGGAACAATGTGCATGGCGAACAGTTCCTGGAATACATCCGCAACGTAACTTTCAGGGGTGAGTTTATTTTTTTATTATGTTTACCGAAGGAAAACATATTGTTTTTGCTACGTTTTTTCTTCTTCTTCTTCTTCAAACTGTGACCTCTGACGTGACTAAACCAGACTGTCACCATGGTAACTGGTGTTGGGTTACATAATGTTGCAGTTTTAAAGTAGGAGGGATTAAGACTCCTGTAACCATATATGTGAATGTGTTTGAGTAAGAATTAACAGAGCAGACCGTACGCAAAGATAAACATTCTGCTTTTGCTTTGCAAATGTTACTTTTCTAGTCTTCTAATTATTTTTTGTTCAGTGGCACTGCTAGTTGATCACATTACATGTGCCTTCCTTGAAGAAAAGCCAACAGGAAGTTTGCAATAGGAAATAGAAGTCACCGAATTGCTCAATTCTGTAAATATGATTGAAAAAATGAGTACCATTTTATAGTGGATTGTTCACTAATAATGCCTATTGCTGTTCTCTTTTCTTTCCGGTTGTTCAGCTTTATGAATTCAATATATTATATCCTGTAAATAAATTCAAATACATTTCAAAATGCGATAACCCATAAAGTGTGCAAATAAGAAAATACGTTTAAGAAAGTTTAAATCATAATATATATAAAGAATGCATGTTAGAGAACAGTTAACCCGTATTTAGTTTTGTTAGATGTTAGTTGTTTACATCAGGGCCCATCACCCTTTGCCAATCCGCTTGACATCGTCTACCAGATACCTTTGACCCAGTGTTGACGTCATACTTCAAAGACGACACGTGACAGTCTCACTGGGTCAGTCTACTGAGGCAGACCAGAGTGACTGGTCAAAAGGTCGAGGTGAGAGAATTTCTTTGTATTCGATCAAAAGTTTGAACTTTAAACTATCGTAAAATCATTTTCTATGTGTACTTCCTGCAGGCATTGGTGGCGACACGGTGGCATTTAATGCACTAGGAGACGGCCCAGGTCGGTACGACATCTACCAGTACCAGAACAAGAACGGCGTGTACCAGTATGTCCCCATCGGTACGTGGGACGACAGTAGAGCCCGGAGACTGAGCCTGAGGCCGTCGCTTCTCCACTGGCCTGGGAACCAGACCATGGCATCACCCACGTCGATCTGCAGCTCAGAATGCGCGCCTGGAGAGAGGAAGATCCAGCAAGCCTCGGCGTGCTGCTGGGTTTGCCAGAGATGTGAGCGGGCCACGCAGAGACTCAGAGACGAGTCCACGTGCGAAGACTGCCCCGAAGGACAGAAACCTGGAGCCAACTGGACAACATGCGAAGACATCCGCATCAGGAGCGTCAGTTGGACATCTCTGTACTCCTCGATCCCCATCGTGTTTTCAGTCCTCGGGATTCTTGTGGTGGCGACGGTGGTGGGTATTTACAAAGTCTACTCGGACACTCCCGTGGTCAGGGCGTCTGGAAGAGAACTGAGCTACGTTCTACTGGCTGGGATCTTCCTATGCTACTGCATGACGTTCATCCTACTCTCGCCCCCCTCCCCCGTCACATGCTGCGTGACCAGGGTCTTCCTCGGCCTGGGCCTCGCCATGTGCTACTCCGCTCTCCTCATCAAGACCAACCGCATCTACAGAATATTCGAAGACGGCAAGAAGTCGGCGAAAGCGGTGAAATGGATCAGTCCCAAATCCCAGCTCATCTTTTGCGCGCTGTTCGTTTCTATTCAACTGTTTGCCGTGGTTGTGTGGCTGGTGGTGGACCCGCCGGACACGTACGTAGAGTACACGGCCATAGAGTCACCCGACGCCGTCGGCGTGCGAAGATGTAACGTCAGCGACACCTCCCTAGTCATCTCGCTGGCCTACAACATGCTCCTGGTCGTCCTCTGCACAGTGTACGCCTTCATGACGAGAAACATTCCCTCCAGTTATAACGAGTCGAAGTACATCGCCTTCAGCATGTACACCACCTGTATCGTCTGGCTGGCCTTCATCCCAATCTTCTTCGGTACGGCTCACTCTCCTGAAAAGGTAGGAACAACGACAAGGCCATGCACTGCACGAAAAGCCATGCCATTTTTTTCTATTCATCAAAACATTAAAACATAACAAAGACAGTGTGGCGCTGCACTTTATAACTTATATTAACAGCGCACAAAACAAAATACAATTAATATTTTAAATACACAAAGTTGACATCAGTGCGCCGTAGTCCCACCACCCCAAGACATTAAAAAATGCTAATGCTAACAAAGTTATTTGAGATGGAGTTGTTACTAAGGATTACGTGTTAACCTCCTATATTTCATTGGTGGAAACAGATCCGCCAATCAGAGCTAGAAGGAGAATTTAGGGCCATTAACACATGTAGTATTTGGTGAGATATGAACGTAATTTTCACAAATTTCCAAGCTTGGACACGCTGGTGAAACTCGACGTGTCCTTTTCATGTACATGAATTTCCACGGGTGTCCCATTCCGGAATTAATTTTCTAAGATGTTGATTTGAGTATATGGGTGACATCCTTTGGGATCCCCAAAACTGATGCGAGCGTGCGAATAAAAGAAAGTTTGGCAAACAAAAGTTGCCTTTGTTATGAAATCTACGTGGTCATGAAGGTTGGACAAATGACTAAAAACACACGGTATGGTATGGCATTTTTCTATTTATTCATATTTTCTACTTTGCCTTTGGAATTGATTTTGGCATACTACGACATGAGTGTCGTTTTTCAACATTTTGTTTTGCAATTTATGGCATATATTTGCTGATTTTGCATTTGTTTCGTATGATTTAAAGTATGGTCAAAAAAGTTTTTTTTTCTGCAAACGGATGAAAATTCATTCATGTAATCAAATCAACATGGCCTTATTATGGAGATGATATATATATATATATGATGTACTGGATGATTATGCCTCTTTGCTGCTTTTGGTTTGTCAAAAATCAGCAAAAAATGTGAATGAAAACAAGTGAAGCGCCACCTTCTGCAGATTTTACGTACTACACAGTGCACGAATAGTACTCTTGCGCCATCTGGCGATTCTAAAAGGAACAGTCCCAAGAATATCCAATGACATTCTACAAGTCGTCCTTGGAATACCCTTACACTGAAAACCTTTCTTAGGTAAAATTCCTTTCTCAGGTACTAGTAGAATGCAACATCGAAAAGAAATGATTGTCCTTGAAACTTGATTATTTCTGAAATCAAGAGTTTGCTATGATCCGATCTTAGACGGACAAATCAAAAGCTGCTGAATAACAGCGCCATCCACCGAAGGTTATGTGAACCTTCGTTTGTCAACAGTACCAACGTTTGTCAATGGTTTTGTTTGTTTGTTTCGCATAACCGGTAAACCGCCTTCAGGCGTAACACACCAGTTTTGTACATGTGCGCACATGTACAAGCTGCGTAAGACCGGACTGTAAGTTTTGAACCACTCACACCGGGAAGATCCCCTACTCTTTTCGATAAGTGCGGTGGGTTCTTTAACGTGCATGGGGTGTGGCTCTCCCAAACACGGGACCTCCATTTAACGTCCTATCCGAGGGACGTCCCTAACCGAAGCTAGGTACTCATTTTCACCTGAGTGAAGTGAGGAAAGTCGTGTAAAGTGCCTTTCCCAAGGGCACAAGATCGGTGACATGGGCAGGGTTCGAACCCACAACCTCTGGGGTGTGAGCCGAACGCGCTACCGACTGCGCCACACGACCCCACTTATACTACTGGTTATGTATGGATTGGACAATACTCCTGAACACTCTATTTCTTTCATACTATCATACATCAAAACCAGTTTCTGGCATAAGCTACGAATGTAGTAATTCAGTAGAGGTCCCAAAATATTACCTTAAGAGTGTGTTCAAAATTGCAAAAAACATCAGTCAGTCATGTTTGTTTACATTCTTGTAGTTTGTGGTGGTGCCTCAAAATAAGTTCACCTCCTGTGGGATGTTTTAGCGCCAACCATAATTGTCAGAAATGTGAGATAATTGCACAAGTACTAGTTTGTTGAAAAGTGGAAGCAAATGACAATCACATGTAGGTTTTTTTTCTCCATTAAAAATATTTTGATTTTCAGTGCAAAATGTTACATACTAAGATTAGACAAATTCTAGAATAAATGCAATAAGTGGAAACCACATTAAGCTTTTTTTCTCAATTATAATATTTCAATTGTCATAGCAAAAATGTTACATAATGCCCCTTTAACGTAAAAATTAGTTTGCAGAATTCAAGGATGGTCACCTTAGTTAACCTTTGTGTCACACGATCAGACAAATTCTAGAATAAATGCTATTAATGGAAACTACATGAAGATTTTTCTCAATTCAAAAATATTTCAATTTTAATTGTTTTCCGATACTTCTTTAGTTTCCAAGATGGTGCAGTGCAAGTACTATGTTCACCAAACTACTGACACATTTGATACCAGACGCAGAAAATTATGCTACTTCTTTATTTATAGGCTAAACAACGCCAACAACAGCATAATACAATGTCTTCTGATGTCAGGTTGTCAGTACAGAAATTATTTTTAATGTATATGATATACTGTGTGTATAGTTTGTGTTTCTACGTTTGTACCGTTGTTTTCTATGTGTGAATACCTGGAATAAAAATATTCCTTAATTCATTCATAGCAAAATTGTTACATAACGCCCCTTTAACGTGATGATTTGATTGCAGAATTCAAGAATGATCACCTTAGATAACCTTTCAATCACACGATAAGACAGATCCCAGAATAAATGCGTGTGACGTCGGGTAAAAATAGCCGTACCTGAACCTCCTAATCGATTTATAAGAATTTATGGAGCTCAGTGTCAAGGGCGCATTTGCGAGGTCAGAACCAAGTTCACGTTCTAATTACATCTCTAGAGGATTGATGCCCGCTACGTTTTTCAGTTTTGACATCGAATTCACCCACGATCGAAGTGTTAATGACACATCACCGTAGATAATTCCCATGCTCTTCACGTTTCATTTGTTACTTACTTGTACTTCAGTAGGTCTCCTCATCTCTGTGAGTGGCCTGCGTTCTTATTCATTTGTTACACTGCCCTGAAAAGAAAACATAAAAGAAAGCATGTTAAATCTATCTTTATTGCCTTCGTCAGAAGGGTATGTTTTCGGTTTGGGTCTCGTGGAGCAGCTTTGGTGTTAGCCCGTATGTATGTAGGTCAACGTCATAAATCGAGTAGTTGATAATGGATCTTTTTGATTTTGATATGATTGTAGCTGTTGTGGAAATGAAGGTCAAGTTTGGAAATGGCCCACCTGGCTTTTTACAATGGTACTGCAGCTGGGTTTTTAAGCATTTGCTTATTGTAAATATACAAACACACTTCTTAAAATGGCGGGGGCATGTGTTCCTCGAACTCTAGTTACCTCCATAAAAATGGAGGTATTGTTTTTGGCGCGTCTGCGTTTGTGTGTGTGTGTGTGTGTGTGTGTGTTTCCGCACATTTGTAGTCAGCATAACTTCAGAACGCCTTTATGGATTGTGATGATATTTGGTATGCTGTTAGGTCTTAGGAAGCCAAAGGTCAAGGTCAAATATGGGCCTCCTGGTGGCTGACCTTGATACTGCAGCAGAACTTCCGGTTTTTTGTATCTTTTGCAAGGCAGGGAAAACAGATGTGCGGGCAGCGCGGTTTGATTAATGAGGTTCTCTCTCTGGACCCCTGAGTTGACCAGATCTGTTACAGCCTGACCTATTTCAAGTCAAAGGTGCTACTGTATTAGCAGAGAAGCTGTGTGCTTGAAAACAAAAACCTGTGTTATTTTGTTATGTACTGTAGTGTACTGTGTAAAAACATTTACAAAAACTCATATATTTTATGGAGGTATGAGATCTCCGAATTCTTGTTTCCAACTGTTTTACTATGTGGGTTCGAACTGAAAATTACAGCAAATACCCGATCCAGCGGTGGGGCAAGTAATTTATCGATGTTATTGCGTGCGGCAAGCTCTAACTTTTACGATTATCTTCTCAAAAGAGCTAGAGGTTCTATGGGTGGAAGAGGTAATGTAGTTTCGTTCGCAATCACTTTTATTGGAACCCTGAAAGAAGTCGTGAAAATTTATGCTGACTGGGTTAGGAGCTAGCAGCAAAAGTTATCGATCCTACTATAGTTCCGTTCTGCCTGAACTGTTTTCTAAAGCCCTTTGTCACAGAATTTGGCGTCCTGAACACTAGCCAAACGCGTTAACGCCCCGCAACAATGGTTAGGAGTACGACTACAACTTTTACTTGATTACGAGTAGGTAGTTGCAAAGTCGGCGAATTTGGCTTCTATTCGGCTTCGCCAGCCAAATGTTTTAAAATATTTTAAACATTCTGTGGTCGGTTGGAAGGTTCCATAGTTGGCTGGTGTTCCGCTGCAAGTCAGCAGCGTTTGGGGCCAGGATCAAATTTGACTCAATTTTAATTCAGGCGGCAACCAGGCTTGACTTCGATAAACAGTGATATAGAAAGGCAGTCGTGGACTACATCTGGTCAGACTGATTCGAACCTTCAGTCGGGACAGGTTAGCTGAGTGGGGGTCGGGAACAAATTCGGGGGAAGGTCGTGAACGTCTGGCAGGGGCTTGAAGCGCTAGCAAGATAAGCAAACCGGCATGTATCGACCTATAAAATCGACATGTTATTGTTGCAATAGGGAGTTTTACTACTGCGACACCGCAGGACCTTGAACTTGACCGACATTGACAGTGACCTCTTGAACATTTGATCTCTTTAGGAGCTACTATAGGAGCTTTTTGACCAATTTGCATCATCTTGTCTTGGCTCATTTGCATAATCTTTTCTTGGCTCATTTGCATCACCTATTCTTGGCTTGTATAACTCTTGTTTCTTTTTAGACTTCCAAAAATTGTCTTCACTTATTTGCATATCAATCAATAGTTTGTCCTCGTTTTGTTGGAATCAAGTTCAACACTGTACTACATGGTGTGTTGCAAGGAGCGTCATTGCTAGTGCACATGTCTCTCTTCAGATGCAGATACAGGTGACCACACTGACGGTGTCCATCTCCATGAGCGGGACGGTCTCCCTCGCCTGTCTCTTCGCGCCAAAAGTCTACATCATCCTGTTCCAGCCGCACAAGAACGTCCGCGCGTCGTCTGCAACCAAAGCCGCCATGGTGGCCAAGAGATGGCAGCAGGTCGCGCGCAAGCGCAGTGAACAGAGGTCATCGGTGTCAGTCGTCATGCGCAATGGTGACTTAGGTACGTACTGGTGTTCCGTATTCCTGTTTTACGGTATTGTTAGGAAAATGTAGCCTCTACCAGGCTTCGGGAGGAACCTGGAAAGAGTAGATAGGAAGGTAACATGCCAGTTGGTCCGCTACAGTAAAGTGCGACAAACGGTGCTCTCTGAGCGGACCGAATCCTCTGGCATGTTATATCTCTATTTTCTGTATCTGTATCTGTATAGTCGGTATAACCGCCTTTCGGCGTAACACACCAGCTTCGTAGACACGCGGCGCGGCAGCAGTTGGCTACATTACACCGATCGACTTGTTACACCTAACCCTTGCATTGAACATCTAACTCTAAACATTGTTTAAAGCTAATGATAATGCCCCTACTGTACTTAGTGGCAGCGATTCCCACTCTGCGATAGTTTTCTACTCTTTCTAGCCGCTTCCCGAAGCCTGGTAGAGGCAAGTGGTACTGAGTTCACATTATGTTTACCTCATGTTCTTGATCAATTTCTTCTTTTTTTCCAAACAAATAAAGTCGATATAAAAATAACTTGGACCAGAGGTCTATCACCATGGTAACTGGCGCTGTAGCAGACACCATTTGGTCATGGGTTACACTTCGGAGTTACACTTTGTAGAGGCTGGTTTCCATATATTACATATGAATGTGTTTGAGCAACAATGAACAGAGCAGTAGTTTGGTAACCTAGGCATAATGCACTTGCTTGTACATTTCTAGTTTGTTATGCATTCTTTTAAAAATCGGCTGTAAAGAGAAAGATGTAAATGACCTACTCGACTTGTGGCTTTCCTTATCTTTCATTTTCATCTGTTCCATTGTAATACCAAATACTGCGGTAGGGGATTGTGTATTGATATCGCATTTAGACATTTAGCACATTTCCCCCTGGTTTAAAATTACCCGAAGAAGCCTCCTTGCCAGCCATAGCGTGTGATTTAAGTAGAGGTATGCTTCAAGGTTGACCTGGACATGTTAGGCCATGTTGATTTGATCATATGGATGGCATCCTCTTGGTACTCCAAAACTGACGCGAGCATGCCGATGAAAGATCAGTTTGCAAAACAAAGTTGCCTTCATTATGAAATCTACCTGGTAATGAATTATAAACAAATTGTTAAACATACAGTATCGTATGGTGAATAATAGACTCTTTATTTTTATTTCTTAACATTTTCTTCTTTTCAAATTTTGGAATAGAGTTTGGCATTCTACGACATTAGTATTGTTTTCCGATATTCTATTTTTGCAATTTATGACATATATCTGCTCTTTTTGCAGATGCTTTGTACAATTTACAGTATGGTCGAAAACTTTTTTTAACAGACGAAACTTCATGCGAGTGCGGATGTATCCATATAATCAAATCAACATGGCCTTACTGTTATAATGCTGTTATGTCAAGTGGCGTAACAACTGCTAGTAATCCATGCCGCAAGATCCTGTATTTCACAGGCCTACAGACACGGTACTCTGACAGATCCAGTTGACGAAATCCCTATAGGGCCTAAACCAGTCTCATCAATGTTATCTGACGTGAATAGAGGCAAAGTACAGTCCCCCAGCCACATAGCAATAAAACAGTAATAAAAACAGAACACCTAACCCTAGGGTACCGTCCTGGTAGGCCTTACCATCAAATCGATGCTGTCAAATTTTATTACACTAACAGAAAGCTTTGGAATAATCCTGATTTATTTTTCTTTCTTCACATCTATCCCCGGTTGTTTTAACGTAATCTTTTACATCAGGTTTTATAATAACGGTTTGTATGATGAAGATCAATACAGAGATATTGTAAATGACACGATGCTGTCAGATTTTCTTACACCAACAGAAAGCTTTGGAATAATTCTGATTTATTTTCTTTCTTCACATCTATCCCAAGTTGTTTTAACGTAATCTTTTTCATCAGATTTTATAATAACTGTTTGTATGATGAAGATCATAACAGAGATATTGCAAATGACAAACTGATCGATCTCGGTGGCTTTCACGGTTCGCCTGTGAGCGGAAACGGATCAATAAAAAATATCGACCTGGGGTCGTCGCTGAAATGAATCCTATTCTCTGGGCCGGGAGGTTCTGACAATTACATATGAAACGGGCTACTTAATTTCCGCAAAGCAATTTCTCAACGCCACGGGGTGTTTTCTGTGGTACCAACTTCTGGCCAGGAAATATCGTGAGAAAATCGTCGGTGATTAGGAGCGTTGCCGTGATGGACTAGATGTGGATGGACTGGGCACCCGCTGAGATTTCTGGTGTACTGAATAAGGCCATGTTGATGTGATTATATGGATGACATCCCCTTGGAACCCAAAAACTAATGCGAGCGCGCGAATAAAAACAAAAAAAGGCAAAAAAGATGCATTTTGAAATCTACGTGGTCATGAAGGTTGAAAATGACTAGACATACAGAGTACGGTAGACTCCATTTCTCAACATTGTCTTCCTTTGGAATTGATTTTGGTATTCTATGACAAGTATTCCCAATTTTTTGTTTTTGAAATTTGCGTCATATATTTGCTAATTTTGTAGCTTCTTTTTACGATTTACAGTATGGTCAAAAACTTTTTCTTTGGAAACGGACGAAAATCAATGTCATTGATATAATCCAATCAACACAGCCTTATGCACAGGGGAAAATGTATTGGAAATGCTTTTGTAAATAGTTTTAAATGTGAAGTGCCTCTAGTTTCTTAAATCTTTCTACCCGATTACGTGATTCTCAAATTGGAATACTGGTTCATTCTCGGACTAGACTACAAACGTATGGATGATTGGAACAATTTTTTGGCTTAAAAAGAAAAGTTTTAGATAAGTTGTCACATCGTCATTCCTCTTAGTAACACCTCTCAAAGTTTTCTCACACAAGTCTTCATTTCTATGACAAACATCGATCATCAATATATATATGAAACACAATTGCCAGATATTTACAGTCGTTGGCCCTTGGCAATTTAACGATTACATATGAGCCACATAACTACACCGTGTTAAGGCCACACCGACTTAATTTTGTGGATGAAATCCTTTCAAGACCCCCAAACTAGTGCGCGCGGGCGAATAAAAACTTCTGGCCAAAAATAAAAATGTTTCTATATTATAAACCACAGGGATACAAAGCTTGTATTGTGAATTCCAGGTAGTATACATCGACGTATACGACAAGCCAACTTTTTCGGAATTTATGGATCGGCACTGTACGTATATGGGTTCTTGAGTCGTGGAGCTTCGGTAGCCTGGAAGCCCGGCTCCTTATTGTCGCTAACTACCATGGACTACCCAGGTCTAGAGCCAGGACAGAGCCTCGGAGGACGTGATCTTTTTTTTGAGAACAGACGAAAATCAATGCACGCGCGGATGTCATCCATAAAATTAAGTCGGTGTGGCCTAACCTGGGTGAAATAAAATGCTGGAGAACAAAACTCGACTTTCTGTATAAAAAAAAACTTTCAACTTCAAGGACATCTATCCAAGGTCGTGGCTGTTCGAGGATCTGTAAACATTATTACTGGATATGAATTGGATCTACACTGAACATGGGGACTTGGGCTATCACTACTTACGCCATGTTGATTTGATTATATGGATGACATCCTCTGTGAACCCTAAAGCTCTTGCTCTAGAGCGTGTGAATAAAAAATGTTCGGCAAAACAAGTTGCCTTCATTTTGAAATACACGTGGTCATGAAGGTTAAGGCCACACTGCGTGTACTGAGTTCTTGAGTTCCGTGGAGCTTCGGCAGCCTGGGTACCGTCCTCCGTAGTCACCGCCGGCTTCTATCTAGCTACTAGTTAGTATTAATAATAACCTTTATTGTACATTCATGCCCTATCGGGCTAAGTACAGGTGAACAGATTAAAGGGTAATATACATGTTTGTAGTTCAAATAGCTCTAAAACTACACTAATACAAAGCTTCAGCTTCTTCTCGTTTCTTAGTAATGTCAAAATATAATTTGAAATGGGTTTGTTTAATACAGGGTGATCAAAGCGCATAAGAAAGATGAATTTTTCAGTATTAGTCAACTACTGGAAGTACGGGAACGTACTCTTAATATATCTAAACAAGAGTTCCACGATCTCATACCTTTGCCAAATGATGTTAACCCTTGCGGGTGACGAATTATACAATTTTAATCATTGATTTTGTAAATAAGAGCCTCATTTGCATGGATTATATCAGTTGATCATATTCTCCATCCAATGACAGCCTTATCATAGCAAAAAGGCTATTATAGCACTTCCTCATAAATTATGCAAATCAGGTCAAAATTTGAATAAATTATATTTATTGATGTTCACCTTCACTAAACTTCCAAATGTGGCAAGAATGAAATTCGGGGTGCAGCAGTTACAACTATGGAATAATAAGAATTTGCCATTAATTATGCAAATTAGGTCCTCATTTACATAATCTATATCCTCAGATGTTTTTCTCGTTCTCAAGTAGATGTCAAAAGTGTTTCATAGTTCTATTATCGAACAAAGCAGATTTATAGAATTTCCTCATTAATTATGTAAATGTTATGTCACTTCTTCCCTACCCCAAGAGCTATCTACCAACCAAAATTCATGACCCTAGCATGTCCAGAACATGAGATGTCAAAACCGGAAGTTCAGCTGCAGTACCTAGGAAAGCCGCAAGGGGGCCCAAAATCTAATCATTTCTAGGTCTCATGAAGATCTACCCACCTACCAAGTTTCATTCCAATCCATTCACTGCTTCTCGAGTTATCTTGCTAAACCACACACACACAAACACACCCACACACACACACACACAGACAAAGGCTACTGAAAACATAACCTTCTTGGCGAAGGTAAAAATCATTTCTATCATTACTGTATGAACTACAATCAACGACAAAGTGGGCTTCATCTTCTACTTTGTTTGAGCTACAAAATTGGCAAATCCTTTGCTCCAGAGGTGTGCGGTTGTGCCTTCCTGTTTCGATGCTGAGTTTATGACAGCTGATTCGTAGTTTGGTGATGGTGGTTTATTGACGTTCGTTTGGGATTTTAAGATAATGTTCTTCATGGACTAAGGAGGATGGCACCCATACCAGAGCCTCGGAGAAGGATGTTTTTTCTAGAACAGGCGAAAATCAATGCACGCGCGGATGTCATCCTTAAAATTAAATCAGTGTGGCCTTAGGCTTAGCCCTTTGGACATGTATTTGCAATTAACTAAACATGGAGAAGAATACCAACATGGTTACGGTATGTATGTAAGTCCCATAACCGTGAGCGGTCGTAGGGGCATCATGACAGCCAGCCGCATGTTTGGACTTGCTACGATGTTTCAGTAGGCTTATAATCTTGGCGGCGCCTATCTCCTCTCCAAGACGGTTACGGTATATACAGTTATATTACAATACAACGCTTTCACCAATTGTAATCCCTGTGTCAGTGAGGTCTACACACCAATACGATCTTCAAATTGCCTGGTGCCGTTAATTCAAGGTCCTCTGACCTTATCGAAGTTTGGCGTCTTTATCTCAATGAAGGGCACACGAGGACACCATCTACATGTATCTTCTGGATGGGAATACAATCATTGTGATAAAACAACTTAGGCTACTCTGATACATGCTCCCACAAGGTCAACACCAAACCCTTCGTTATAGAGCAGAGTATGGATCGCACTGTTTGTACGTAAATTCCCATTGATTTTACAGAAATGAGGAAGGCTGACTCTGCTTAACGCCTATGTTGATTGGACTATACGGATGGCATCCTCTTGGAACCCAAAAACTGATGCGAGCGTGCGAATAAAACAGTTTTCAACAAGGCTGAGGCGACTACTGAATGATATATATTATTTCATGTGGTGGAGCTAGCAATCTACATTACAATTATCAGAAAAACATATTTCCCTATCTTATAAAGACATGCACGTAGTGAAATTTACAGGATGGATGGAGGAGGTGTGGGGCAATATACCAAATACACGTATAGGAGGAATTAGCCGTTCTTCTCCAGCAATATAAATTTTATGACATACTTACTTACTTTACTTTGGTGGAGTTCCCGCTCGAACCAAACTTAAAACCATCCTCCACTTCACTCTATCCTCCACCAGAGACTGGATTTTATGTCTGGTCTGAAGTTGTTACTCCTGTGACTTGTTTTTTTACCTTTTGTGGGTTCCAAAAGGACGGATAATTTCTTTTGTCTCTGTGATCTGTTTGAATCTGGTCTTTGGCCAAAGACAGCTGTGCTCTCTGTCCGTGGTGTGGGGAGAAGATAGATGACCAGTAATTAATCATGCCAGGCAGCTGGATGGGTGGCACGTGGGCACCAGTGTAAGTTACCTGCTTGAACCAAAAACCACATGGCCGAAGGTTTCCTCAAAACCAATTCCCTAGGGAACGCATTCGTGCAATTTTTGAAATTCTTTCAAAGCGATCGTAGTACTTGCACAAATGCCTCCGCCCCAAAGGCGTCGCCAAAAATGCTTTCATCATGAAATCTACGTGGTCACAAATGACTAAACACACAGAGTATGGTATGGTGAATATAATAGACTCTTCATTTTCATTTCTTCGCATTTTCTTCTTTTCTTTTGGAATTAATTTTGGCAATATATGTCATTAGTATCGTTTCTCATTTTTTTTGCAATTTACGGCATATACTGCGTTTGCTCACTTTGCAGCTGATTTGTACAATTAACTGTATGGTCGAAACGTTTTTTGGGGGGCAATTTTAGGATGGTCGGCAAAAGAAGACGTTAAAAATTCTAAAAAACGTAGTATCAAAACTCCCACCCACGCGGAGGCCTGCACACACGTACAGGAGGCTACGGTGGTCTGTTGGAGGCTAAGACCCACGCGGTGATACAATTGCAATCACACCGGCAGCAAAACACTGCCAGACCGGTTCCCACCAGCAGGCAGTGACGCCGATGCATTACGACATCTTCATGCATTACACGTTCATTACCACCGGAACCGTATCATTTCCACCTTGACGCGGCGCTGCGCTGCAATCAGAGCTGCCATGTTCGATGCCGAAAAAAACGCCCCGACCGAAATTAGAAGTGGCTTTTCAATTAGAGGCAAGATTACCTGGGTCCTGTTTCGACGCCATCCCACTCGTGACGTTTTTGTAGTTGTTCAACTTCTTTCAAGAAAAAAAAAACCTTGTCTACCAGGAATTAGAGTCAGCTACAATAGGTGGTTTCAAAAAGTGGGGTCATGTATAGTAACGGTAGAGTGATCAACTCGGAACCAAGAGGTACTGGGTTCGAACCCTGCCATGCCACCGATTTTGTGTCCTCGGGAAAGGCACTTTACACGAATTTCCTCACTTTGCGCAGGTGAAATTGAGTACTGTGTAGTCCTTTGTGTTGGTGGCGGCATAAAAATAGGTTGAAAAACTTGAGTGTGACGTCACCATGTCTTGTAGTTACATGTTGGAACTAGAGTTCCACGATCTCATACCTTCGCCAAATGATGTTAGCCTTTATGAATAAGAAATATACTAATCACTCTGATTATGCAAATAGGATCCTCAGTTGCATGAATTATATCAGTCTGTTGATCATATTCTCCACCAAAAGACAGTCTTATCTTAACAAAGAATGCCATTTTCTCATAAATTATGCAAATGTGGTCCTTATTTGAGTAAGTTATGTTTAATTATGTTCACCTTCACTTAACTTTCAAACACCCCAAGTATGAAATTCCAGGCAGTTACCACTATGCAATTATAACATTTTCTCATTAATTATACAAATTAAGTCTTCATTTGCATAATCGATATTTGCCTGTGTTTCCCTCGTTCTTAATAACATATGTTACAAGCTTGAACTTCCTATCATGGAATGCAGCTGATTTATAGAATTTCCTCATTAATTATACAAATTACATCAATATTTGCATAATTGTAATATCATTATGTCAAGCATCACTTAAGCTACCTACATACCAAAAATCACGATGATCCATCAATCGGTTCTTGAGTTATCCTCTTTTAAACATTTGTCCTTTAAACCCCCCTGCAGTTCTAGAGCAAGCAACTAGGGGGCTCATACTCATGTCACTTCATCCCCAGCACAAGAGCTATCTACCATCTAAATTTCGTCACCCTAGCATGTCTGGATCATGAGATATCAAAACCGGAAGTTCTGCTGCAGTACCATGACAAGCCGCCAGGTGGCCCAAAATCTAATCATTTTGAGGTCTCATCAAGACCTACCCACCTACCAAATATCAAGTCAGTCCATTTAAGCCTTCTCAAGTTATCGTGTTGACAGACACACACACACACACACACACACACACACACACACACATACACGAACGCCTCTGAAAACATAACCTTCTTGGCGAAGGTAATAAAAAAAAACTACAACACCCGGTCGGAGGTCTGGTGAATCCCTGTCTTCAATAAGCCTCAAGACTCGCCTGATTATTAATACCCAAGTGATGGTTGGGCTGTATTTTCAGCCTAACAAATAAATAACAACGGGACCCAAACTAATGTCACTTCTTACCGAGTACAGGAGCTATTCACCATATCCAAAATTCGTGACCCTAGCTCGTCCAGATCACGAAAGCCGCCAGGGGACGAAAAATCGAATCATTTCCAGGTCTGATCAAAGTCCTCCACCTAATAATTTCATGACAATATATCCAAGGCTTATTGAGTTATCGTGTCAAACCACATAAGTACATAAAAACGCTGTAGAAAACATAGCCTTTTTGACGATGATAAAAATTTTTTGGGCTTGTTACAGATAATAAACCTACCTGAATACGAACATGTCCTATCGTGTGTAGGTAAAAACTGATAACACAAGGATTAAAACTAATACACACGACGGAAAGTGAAGCGAAGGAGGTTTTAGGCGGCATCCGCCATCTTTCTTCAGCTAATGACGAGGGCAGTCACGTGACCCGGGGTTGAAAGGCCAGCTCAGGTCACGTGACTGGACGAGTGTGTTGTAGATTGGGGGTAGTCTGTGGCGGCCTCGGTCGCGGTTTAAGGATGGCGAGAGGAATTCTGATGAATGAATGAATGAATGAATGAATGGTTTATTTTTAATACAAAAGACAAGTACACATCGTACAAAACATGCATTAGCAGCCATTATCAGCTGAAATGATGTATGATTTACAGTACATGGCTAAAAAGCTTTACTTGGTAAGACTTAATGTAGCATTAAGCGATAACCACAGATAACACCTTGATTTGTCTTTTTCTACAGAGGTGTCCTCGCCAGAACAGCCGGACATGGACATACAGAAAATCCCCAGCTCGGACACCATCGTCAGCACCAGCGACGGGAAACCTGTCTACAGATTTGGAGCTCTGGTCGACAGAACAACGGAAGTCGCCGAATCAGGCGTGCTGACCACGAATGTGTGAGCTATAGCTCTCAAATGTCGTCGGTGGACCCATATGCAGGGCTTGAAATAACTCCTTTTCGGTTTGTTTGTTTGTTTGTTTGTTTGCTTATTTATTTATTTTATTGGTTTGGCTGTTCAACCATCACAACCAGGGTATCCCAACTAGCCAGTTGCTATTACTGAGGGCTAGCCCTGCTGACATGACATAACAAGACAAGACATCACAGTAACATACTAATTTTTCGGTTAATGCAAAATTGCATGTTGAAGAAAATTGGCATGCAATTTAAACAATCTACATGCACACTTCAAGTCTTCTCTAGACCTCGTATCAACAATATACATATGGAAATCTCCAACACCACATTTCTATGATAAGGCCACACCAATTTGATTTCTTGGTTAACAGATTCGCCCGCTTTATTTTTTTTCTGATTTGCAAAAAAAATAATACATTCAGAATCAACTGCAAGATGCTCATATTTTGCCCTGAAAACAGTACTTTTCTTCCTAGTTGTTACAGTTATTCCATCTTTCAATGCAGTGGTATCATTAAAAGTTAAAAATTCATTGTTTAAATTTTGAACCAGCCTTGTGTGTTGACTTCATGGCTCCTATCGTGCCATTTTGGGCCATAATAGGATGTCTAGGCCTGTTTTTATTTTTATTTTTTTTTTGGCCCGCCCGCTCCATTATTTTTCTAGAAAAATCCGTTAACCAAGAAATTAAATTGGTGTGGGCTAAGGGGAAATATTAATAGTGGGGAAGAAATGAGGTGCGTGGCTGCAAACCTGATGAATTCTATAGACGTGGGAAAAATCATCTGGGAAGATAGGAAAGAAATTCGAAACACCCTACATTTTAAAATGAGTATAGTGACGTTGTAGTAGAAACATAGCAGTGCTATTATTGTACAGTCTGAAGGGAACACTGTCATATATGCAAAATTGCATATTTAGAATATTTCTACATGGAAATCTTGAAAATCACATCTTTTAAGTTTCATATGAGTATTTTGAGCCCTGCATGTGTACCCACAGCATGATCTTTCTTCTAAAAGTTTCTCTAAAATGAATTGTAGAGATAGAGTCTCTATTTGAACATTGATACTGTTGTGATTGCAGCATTGCGTCTACTTTTGTACAACTTGACATGATGTATATTTTATTGGAAAAAATGTCGAGATAAAAATGATATTTCGATAAGATTGGTTGACAAATGTGTATTTTATGTACGTGAGAGACGTTTGTCAAAGACTTCTATCGTAAATGTTTTGTCTCCGGTGAATATTTGTGACGCACTGATGACATGTGTAAAGTATTGCCTTCTTGTAATCTTTGTCCCAACTGACGACTACAGAATATTTTTGCCAAAATATAGATAAATCTTGAACAAGGAATTTGTTGATGATATGAGTGATATAATTGTGGCTGGTATCACATCACTGTACGTAAACGTAATTAAAAACGTAGGGTTAAGTGTTTTTTTTGTGGAAATAGTGCAGTAATTTCAGCATTTGTTCTTGAGAATATGGTGATGTCCGTTGCTGCTTCATGACTATGTATGTGTACGTAGGTTAACAGTTACCACACGACTATAGCATCTGTCACACATTCAGCACGTTCGGGAGCAGTCTGACCAGATTTTTGCCTAACTTTAAATATGATTCAATACGAATTTGAGTTAAACTTGGGTTATATTTGACCTTCGCACACCCCAAAAACTGCTCACTTCCGGCCGAAACCGGCCTACCATGTTTGAACCTGCCGACCAACCCTACAATATTTTAAACATTTTTAAACATTCTAGTTTTAAACATAACAACGCGGCTAGTGTTCGGGAGGCCAAATTCGTGAATGTGTGACAGGGACTTAAACTGACTGATTATGCAGTACGTCAATATTACTGTTCGCAATTTATTTATGTCATTGAAATCGTATATCATTATTCAGTGAATAAATTGTTCTGAAAAAAATAAGAAGTCATGGGCAATATTTTAAACTTTGATACTTCCCCTCAAACAACCTCAATATCACCTTCACCTTCTCCCGTCGTCACCCTTTGACTTTTCTCCAGGAATAATAATTATTTTACTGAGTTTGCCCCACTGAGAGACGAGATCAAATACAAAATCGATACCAAGGCACGCCTGATCGACCGTAAATTTGACCCTGTCAATGTCTGACATTTGGCAGCAGGGCACAGAGCTAGAAAGGGAATCAAAATAACATCAGCATTACAATTCCACTGGCGGGACCTACACCAAAATGCTTAGGATTGTTAAAAATGTACACTGGTACCAAAAGATACCAAATGGTGTACTATATGAAAATCTACCCACAGTGAGCGATACAATATGAAAACGAAGGTTGAAGTTCATTGGACACTGCCACATAAGTGAGGATGAAATCATAAACCAATTATTACTGTGGGAGCCCTCACATGGAAAAAGAAGTCGAGGTCGTCCAGCAAGAAACTACAGTATATTAATCAATTAATGGACGACATGCAGCTCGACATGAAAAACCTGATAGTAGAAATGAAGGATAGGAAGATGTGGAAAGCTGTCATTGGAACCGAGGGAAGCTCGACCGAGTGAGTGAGTGAGTGAGTGAGTGAGTGAGTGAGTGAGTGAGTGAGTGAGTGAGTGAGTGAGTGAGTGAGTGAGTGTGAGTGAGTGATTCCACTGGCCTTCTTGGGTTGTAACTTCTTTTAGTCAAATTGGTGACGATGAAACTTTACTCAAAGAATCGTCCCAAATATTGTTTTCGAATGGGAAATTGATTATAACGATGACCTACTTTGTTGGGGCACAATATTGTACCGCCCTTTGACATATGCCATTATCATTATCCATTAATCATTAGACCAGTTCTCAAGAGAGGACATGATGTATAGACACCGTGAGAGATACGGTCGACTTTTTCGTCAACCTATTGACAATTTTTTGTACCTGGACAAGTGCTAACATCCATATATGTCTGTGAATGATTTCATCAGGCTGGTGAATGATTAAGGCCAATAGTTTACAAGAGCCAACGTCCGCGTTTCGTCTTTATCAAAGCAATTATGACTAGTTCACTGCGCAGAGGCTAGGTGTTACTGGTTCACTGTGTACTGGAGCTGGGTGTTACTGGTTCACTGTGCACTGCACTCGGCTAGGTGTTACTGGTTCACTGTGCACTCAAGCTAGGTGTTACTGGTTCACTGTGCACTAAAGCTAGGTCGTACTGAAGCTAGGCGTTACTGGTTCACTGTGTACTGAAGCTAGGTGTCACTGGTTCACCGTGCACTGAAGCTAGATGTAACTGGTTCACTGCGTACTGAAGCTAGGTGTTACTAGGTACACTGTGCACTGAGGCTAGGTGTCACTGGTTCACTGTGTACTGAAGCTAGGTGTTACTGGTTCACTGTGCACTGAAGCTAGGTGTTACTCGTTCACTGTGCACTGACGCTAGGTGTAACTGGTTCACTGTGCACTTAAGCTAGGTGTTACTGGTTCACTGTGTACTTGAGGCTAGGTGCCACTGGTTCACTGTGCACTGAAGCTAGGTGTTACTGGTGCACTGTGCACTGAAGCTAGGGTTGCACTTCAATCCGGTTCACTGTGCGCTGAAGCTAGGTGTTACTCGTTCACTGTGCACTTGAGCTAGGTGTAACTGGTTCACTGTGCACTGAAGCTAGGTGTTACTGGTTCACTGTGCACTGGAGCTCAGTGTTACTGGTTTACTGTGCACTGGAGCTAGGTGTTACTGGTTCACTGTGCACCGAAGCTAGGTGTTACTGGTTCACTGTGCACTGAAGCTAGGTGTTACTGGCTCACTGTGCACTGGAGCTAGGTGTTACTGGTTTACTGTGCACTGAAGCTAGGTGTTACTGGTTCACTGCGTACTGAAGCTAGGTGTTACTGGTTCACTGTGCACTGAAGCTAGGTGTTACTGGTTCACTGCGTACTGAAGCTAGGTGTTACTGGTTCACTGTGCACTGGATCTCCGGAGCTAGGTGTTGCTTGTTTACTGTGCACTGAAGCTAGGTTTTACTGCACTGAAGCTAGGTGTTACTGGTTCAGTGCATTTAGCTACAGTGCACAGTAAACCACTTATAGTTGCCCTGATGACGATGACAGCGTCTTCAAACGTCAGTCTTTTTTAAGAAGTGGCTGTGATGAATTCAAAACCTTGATATCCATATGCATGCACACATTGATATCCATATATATGTACATGTCAGTCGGAATGACACGGAAACCGTTGATTTCAGAACGGTTTGGCCCATCTTTTGTCTTTCTTGACTTTCTTCCTCTCGTGTTTTCTTCTTTTTCAAATCTGATACAAATTACCGGCACACATTTTTCTCATTTGCATATCTGGGAATGATCCCTGCCCCCTGGAGATTCTGTACTAATTTCCGCCACAAGCACGTCTGTATTCCCCTCCAAATGGCAAGACTTTATCTCTCCGTGCAGTAATCCCATCGTTCAGAGGGGCCTTCATGACCCAAATCTAATTATTCATGGTTGGCTAAACACTAGTGTGTTACAGTGGCAGTGGTACTGTGATTCATTCAAGCCCAGCGTCCTGAGTTTGCTATTTATTTATTCTATTTATTAATCTTACAAACAAATTGGTAGTCCCTTCAGCCGTTGAGGCTGATTTCCAAAGGAGCCCATGAAAACATGATACAAGAAAATAATGTAACATAAAATAATAGCTAAACGTGAAAAAGGAATTCGAAAAACATAATCAAGATACAATAATAATAGTCAGAGGTGGTCAAAGGTCAAATTCCAAATAATACAAACTTAGGAATGGTAGAACATAAATAAAGTACTTGAACATAGGAATAATAAACCATATAAACAAATCAAACAACTAAATAAAAAAAACTGAAATCATAATCGGTTGTATGCACACTAATGTGTTGATTATTCACCCTTACTTTCCCTCTTGAGTAAACAATTTACTGCAAACATCAAAGAACCCACATATCACAGAAGATGTGGGCAAATTCGTATTGTCT